TTTAAGTCTGAATTTGGCAATAAGGAGTTCATGATCTGAGCCACAGTCAGCTCCCAGGCTTGTTTTTGCTGACTGTATAGAGCTTCTCCATCTTTGGCTGCAAAGAATATAATCAATCTGATTTTGGTGTTGACCATCTGGTGATGGTAATGTGTAGAGTGTTCTCCCATGTTGTTGGAAGAGAGTGTTTGCTATGACCAGTGTGTTCTCTTGGAAAAACTCTATTAGCTTTTGCCCTGCTTCATTCTGTACTCCAAGGCCAAATTTGCCTGTTAGTCCAGGTATCTCTTGACTTTCTACTTTTGCATTCCAATCCCCTATAATGAAAAGGACATCTTTTTTGGGTGTTAGTTCTAGAAGGTCTTGTAGGTCTTCATAGAACCATTCAACTTCTTCAGCATTGCCTGTCAGGGCACAGACTTGGGTTACTATGATACTGAATGGTTTGCCTTAGAAACGAACAGATATCATTCTGTCATTTTTGAGACTGCAACCATGTACTGCATTTTGGACTCTTGTTGACTATGATGGCTACTCCATTTCTTCTAAGGGATTCTTCCCCAAAGTAGTAGATATAATAATCATCTGAGTTAAATTCACCCATTCCATTCCATTTTAGTTCACTGATTCCTAAAATGTCGATGTTCACTCTTGCCATATCCTGTTTGATGACTTCCAATTTGCCTTGTTTCATGGCATGGACCACAGTCTTGTCTAACTCAATGAAACTATGAGCCATGCTGTGTAGGGCCACCCAAGACAGATGGGTCATGATGGAGAGTTCTGACAAAACGTGGTCCACTGGAGAAGGCAATTGCAAACCACTTCAGTATTCTTGCCTTGAGAAATCCATGAACAGTATGAAAAGGCACTGGGTATGATAGGACACTGAAATATGAACTCCCCAGGTGGTAGGTGCCCAATATGCTGACACCATGTAGCAGCATCTAAATCACCAAAACATGCTAAGTAAAAGAAGCCAAACGCAAATGTCACATAGTGAATGATTCCACTCATATGAATGACCAGAAGACACAAATTCATAGGAACAAAAAGTTAGATTAGTAGTTTCCAGGGTTAGCAAACAGGGAAAATGAAGATCGACTGCTAACGGGTCTGGGGCTTCTTTCTGGGGGTAACGAATATGTCTTACAGTAAGACAGTAATGGTGGTTGTAGAACTCTATGAATATACAAAAAACTCCTGAAACTTTAAAGGGTAACTTTTATAGTATATTAACTATGTCACAATATAGTTGTCTTGTTTTGTTTTTAAAGAAGTTAACTGCCTTACTCAGAGTCGCACTGATTAGCAGGGTTGCCAACATCAGTGTTCTTACTATGAAACATTTAATCTTGTTATTACAAAACTGAAATGACACTTGTTAGCCATAAACCCAGACTGACACCAAATAATGTCAGTATTTGGCCAGTATTTTGGCCATAAGTTAAGGTAAATTAAGTGTGCTAGCATCAAACTTCCCAATATGTGTTATGCATAACACAAAGCATGTTAGCAAAGATTAGAGATAAAATACCACATGGAGATTAGTCTTACCATTGAAATATTTTCATCCACTAGGATATGTAAGCCTTTCAGGGACACCATGAAGACAAAAGATGATCTCATAATACAGCTGGGCTAAATGATGATCTAGCAGAGAAGTAGCAGAGGCAAAACTGTAAAAAACAGTCACAAAAGAACTTCAAAACCAGAAAAGTACCACATTTGACCACAGGTGGTAAAAAAATCTTAGCAGGACCACATCTATAATACAGAGGGGTTGCTGAGCCAACAACTAGCCACTTATTTTTAGTAACAGGAAAACATGACAATTCTGTACCAATCCAAGGCAGTAAAAAAAAAAAAAATTTTTTTTTCTTAATGGTAGAAAAAGTCTGTGCTGTGCTTAGTCCCTCAGTCATGTCTGACTCTCTTTGCGACCCCAAGGACTGTAACCTTCCATGCTCCTCTGTCCATGGGGCATCTCCAGGCAAGAATACTAGAGTGGGTAGCATTCCATTCTCCAGGGAATCATTCCAACCCAGGGATTGAACCCAGGTCTCCCACACTGCAGGAGAATTCTTTACTATCTAAGCTACCATGGAAGCCCAAGAATACTAGAGTGGGTAGCCTATCCATTCTCCAGGGGAACTTCCTGACCCAGGAGTTGAACTGGGGTCTCCTGAATCACAGGCAGATTCTTTACCAGCTACGCTACCAGGGAAGACCCTGGAAAAAGTCTAAGACCTACCAAATATATTTGAATCACCTTGGTGACTATGGTTTAGATTAATGCTGTTCAACAAATAACAACAGCAAGACAGAAATAATGACCACTCACCAATATAAAACTCAAGGATATATTTTTTATCATATGATTAATATTGGCAGTATAACAAATCATGGGACTGTAGTTTCATAATATAGCAAGTAACAGGACCTCCAGAACCAATCAGTCCATGGTTCACAGACCCTAATACCAAATTATTTTGCTAGTTAACAAAGTTCCATGCAGTAAACCGGAGGTGCAAAAGAAGGCTAAATTGTTAATATTATTAGGATATGCCCAGTCTAAATAGCAACACTGAACTAAAAGTAAACAATGAAAAGTTCTGCATGTAAAGCAGTATAATATACCGGGCAACTCAGCTGACAACACTAAAGCATACTACCTAAACAAGTTTTGCTGTTAAAAAAAGAAATTCTGGGGGGCAGTCCTAAGATGGCAGAGAATAGGACAGGGAGACCATTTTCTCCCCCACAAATTCATCAAAAGATCATTTGAATGCTGAGCAACTTCCACAAAACAACTTCTGAATGCTGGTGGAGGAAACCAGCCACCCAGAAAGGCAGCCCATTCTCTTCAAAAGGAGGTAGGACAAAATATAAAGGACAAAAAGAGAGACAAAAGAGTAAGGGATGGAGAGCTGTCCCAGGGAGGGAGTTGTGAAGGAGAAGTTTCCATACACCAGGAAACCCTCTCTCTGGCAGGTCTGTGGGGAGTTATGGAGTCTCAGAGGGCAACATAACTGGCAGAGGGGTAAAAAAATCCACAGAATACATGCCTTAACCACAACTCCCAGTGGAGAAATAGCCCAGCCGCTCGCATCTGCCACAGCGATCGGGGGAGGCACAGGTTGCATGCTTAGGGTAAGGACCAGTCCTGAATGCCCTGAGGACAATCTGAAGGAGCTAACATGAGATAACAACCCAAACTGTGGGATAGACAGAGAGAGAGGAAAAAAAAAAAAGAGAGAGAGAGAGAGAGAAAAAAAGAGAGAAAGAGAGAAATTCCCCACAAAAAGCTTTAACCTAAGGCACAGCCTGGCTGGCTCACAGAACAAAGGATTGAGGGAATACCAGAGGAGAGCTACCTGGCTGTGGACTGGCCCACTGCCCTGCTGGAGGCAGAGGCAGGTGGATGACAGCCAGAGCCAGAAGGCGAGAGGCAGTCTTGGCCCCAGAGACAGCATCCTCCAAACTGTGAGCAGGCTCCCGGTTGCTAACCAAGTCTTCCTGGGATCCTGGACGGTTGACATCTGCCAGGAGGGTTGCAGCCTGAGATCAGCTCCCCAGAGGACACACACAGAACACCTGAGATGGCACTCCTGTGGTGCACCCAGGAAACCAAGCGGCTGGTACCAGGGAGGTGATAAGAAGCACTGCACACCTAGGATAATGTGTTCGCCAAGCACCTGGTGGCCTGAGCTCCTATGACCTGGGATGGGCACAAAATGCAGGCCCAACAGAGTCTGTGCCTTTGTGGAGTACTCAAGAACCTGAAACTGAGAAGCTTAGACCTGGGAAGTGCACGCAATCCAGGGCTGGCTTAGCACAGTTCCCCGTAAGAGCAACCTGGAGCCTGAGCAGTCCAGACCCGGAAAGCACAGGTGCCATGAGCTGGGGCAAACCCAGTGTGGTCCATACACTGCAAGCACTCCGCACACACGCCAGTGATATTTGTTTGCAGTGTTCCTCCCTCCCCACAGCACGACTGAACAAGCGAGCCTAAATAAGTACCACTTTTCGCCCCCTTGTCTCAGGGCAGAAATTTGACACTAAAGAGACTTGCAAACAGAGAAAGCCAAAATAAACAAAGAAGAGGGAGCCGCTCTGGAAGTGATAGGTGCAACAGATGAAAACTCTCTAGTTAGCATTGACGAAGCACTGGAAGGGGCCTATAGACCTTGAGAAGAAGTATAAGCTGGAACAAGGAACTATCTGAAACTGAACTGACCACACAACTGCCTTCAGCAGCTCCAGAGATATATTTTTACTATTATAATTTTAAAATTTTTTTTTATTTTTAAGTTTTTTACCACTCTTTTAATTCTTTCTGGTATTTGTTATCAATTTTGTACCATTAAGAATCTAATCTTCAGTACCCATTTTTACTTAGGGGTGTGATTACTGGCTTGACTGCTCTCTCCCCTTTTGACTCTCACCGTTCTCCCCCAGGTCACCTCCATCTCCTGCCTCCGCTTTCTCTTCTCTACTTTGTGAATCTCTCTGGGTGTTCAGGCTGTGGAGAACACTTAGGGAACTGATTACTGGCTAGACTGGTCTCTCCTCATTTGACTACCCCTCTTCTCCTCCTGGTCTCCTCCTCTATCTTCCTTCTCCCTCTTCTCTATGTAACTCTGTGAACCTCTCTGGGTGTTCCAGACTGGGGAGAGCACATAGGGAAATGATTACTGGCTAGATTGCTCTCTCCCCTTTTGATTTCCCCTCTTCTCCTCCTGGTCACCTCTATCTCCCTCCTCCCTCTTCTCTTCTCCATGTAACTCTGTGAATCTCTGGGTGTCCCTCGCTGTGGAGAATCTTTTCACCAATAACCTAGATGTTTTATCATCAGTGCTGTATAGATACAGAAGTCTTGAGGCTACTGTAAGAATAAGACTGAAAGCCAGAGGCAAGAGGCTTAAATCCAAAACTTGAGAACACCAGAAAATGCCTGAATCCAGGGAATGTTAATTGACAAGAGCTCATCCAAAAGCCTCCATACCTACACTAAAAATAAGCTCCACCCAAGAGCCAACAAGTTCCAGAGCAAGACATAGCACGCTAATTCTCCAGCAATGCAGGAACGTAGCCCTGAGCATTAAAATACAGGCTGCCCAAAGTCACACCTAACCCATAGACATCTCAAAACTCACTACTGGACACTTCATTGCACTCCAGAGAGAAGAGATCCAGCTCCACCTACCAGAACACCGGTGCAAACTTCCCTAACCAGGAAACCTTGACAAGCCATTCGTCCAACCCCACCCACAGGGAGGAACCTCCACAATAAAGAGGAACCACAAACTTCCAGCATACAGAAAGGCCACCCCAAACACAGCAATCTAAACGAGATGAAAAGGCAGAGAAATATTTAGTAGGTAAATGAACATGATAAATGCCCACCAAACCAAAGAAAAGAGGAGGAGATAGGGAGTCTACCTGAAAATGAATTCAGAATAATAATAGTAAAGATAATCCAAAATCTTGAAAACAAAATGGATTTACAGATAAATAGTTTGGAGACAAGGATTAAGATGCAAGGAAAGTTTAACAAGGACCTAGAAGAAAGAAAAAAGAGTCAATCAATAATGAATAATGTAATAACTGAGATCAAAAGCACTCTGGAGAGAACCAACAGTAGAATAACTGAGGCAGAAGATAGGATAAATGAGGTGGAAGATAGAAAGGTGGAAATAAATGAAGCAGAGAGGAAAATAGAAAAAAGAATGAAAAGAAATCAGGACAACCTCAGAGACAATGGTAAATGCCCCAACATTCGAATCATAGGAGTACCAGAAGAAGAATACAAAAAGAAAGGGCATGAGAAAATACTTGAGGAGATAATAGTTGAAAACTCCCTAAAATGGGGAAGGAAATAGCCACCCAAGTCCAAGAAACCCAGAGGGTACCAAACAGGATAAACCCAAAGCGAAATGCCCCAAGACACATATTAATCAAATTAACAAAGATCAAACACAAAGAAAAACTATTAAAAGCAGCAAGGGAAAAGAAGCAAACAACACACAAGAGGATTCCCATAAGGATAACAGCTGATCTTTCAACAGAAACTCTTCACACCAGAAGGAAATGGCGGGACATACTTGAAGTGATGAAAGAGAAAAAGCTACAACCCAGATTACTGCACCCAGCAAGGATCTCATTCAAATATGAAGGAGAAATAAAAAGATTTAGACAAGCAAAAGCTGAGAGAAATCCGCACCACCAAACCAGTTCTTCAACAAATGCTAAAGGATCTTCTCTAGACAGGAAACACAGAAAACGTTTATACACTCCAACCCAAAACAACAAAGTAAATGGCAACGGGATCATACTTATCAATAATTACCCTAAATATAAATGGGTCAAATACCTCCAACCAAAAGATAAAGACTGGCTGAATGGATACAAAAGGAAGATCCCTATATATGCTGTCTACAAGAGACCCACCGCAAACCAAGGGACACATACAGACTGAAAGTGAAGGCCTGGAAAAAGATATTTCATGCAAATGGAGACCAAAAAAAAAAGCAGGAGTAGCAATACTCATATCAGATAAAATAGATTTTGAAATAACAGTTGTAAAAAGAGACAAAGAAGGACACTACATAATGGTCAAAGGATCAATCCAAGAAGAAAATATAACAATTATAAAGATATATGCACACAGCATAGG